CAGACTCTCTTCCACTGAGCCACAGCCCTTCTCCCAAGTAGGGTTAAATCACTATGAAATGCAAGTGATACAATCTGGGGCCATTTCTGTGTATAACCAGGGCTTTTTTTCTGGGGAAGTGCACCAGAATGGAGTTCCGGTACCTCTTCAACAAAATTCTTTTAAAAATGTTTAAAAATTTGTGAGTTTTCAGTATATGGATTGAAAACTTCATTTCCCTCTTGAGAGTTCTGGCATATAACTCAGATATGCAGGGGTCATTTCCTGCGGGAGCGCACAGGAGCGGAGCTCCTGCAGTAAGGAGCCCAGGGGACGGGCACATGCAACAAGCCCCGCCCCCTGTTCCCAGCAGCCCTCAGTTGGGCCACAAGGAGCAAGAAGGAGCCCAGGTAAGTTGCAAAGCCCCCCGGCCCGCCTTCAAGTGCAAGCTCTCCCTCTGTGAGGGCAGATCTTCACCCCCCCCCCCCCCCCCATAGCTAGCAATCCAAAACAGTCCAATGGAGCCTGAGTGGTGGGTGTTGCCTTCTGACACACTTCCGGTGACATCAGGGGGTGTGGCATATGCAAATAAGTTATGCTAATGAGTTGTGCTAATGAGCTCCTGCACCTCTTTTTCTACGAAATGACCCCTGCAGATATGATCCCCAATAATTGCTGTTGTGGCTGGTCACTGTGCTTTTCTGTTATGTTTTGCTGTATATTGATGGGGGCGGGGGGGCATGCCAGAGTCATACTTTACCTAAGGTGCCCTTGATTCCCAGGGTTCCTTGGGAGAAGCCAGGACAGCAAACTGAGTTAAAACCTCTTGAAGTTTGCAGTACAAAAGCATCCGGCTTGTGCACTTGGCTGAAAATATCCTAACATGACTCCCTGTTTTATTTAAAGCCTCACCTATTATGGATGCTTTCTACAGCAATGGAATCTGGATTGCAGAGCTGTTGCAGGGGGTGCCCTGCATGGAAGATTTCTGGCTGTGGGTGACTTTCTTGGGTGACCCGAAATGCGTCTTCATCATCTATTTCCCAATTGCCTATTTCTTGGACTGGAAGGTTGGACTGAAGGTGCTCTGGCTGGGCTTAATCTCTGAATGGCTGAATTTAGTCTTTAAATGGTGAGGAGCGAGCAATGGTCATAAAGCAATATTCAAAGGAATGGGGATTAGGAATGTATGTTAACCCTTAAAAGAGCCATTTTGGTGTAGTGGTTAAGAGCGCAGACTCTAATCTGGGAGAACCGGGTTTGATTCCCCACTCTTCCATGTGCAGCCAGCTGGGTGACCTTGGGCCAGTCACAGTTCTCTCAGAGCTGTTCTCTCAAGAGCAGTTCTCAAAGAGCTGTCTCAGCCCCACTTATCTCACAGGGTGTCTGATGTGGGGAGGGGAAGGGAAAGGAGATTGTAAGCTACTCTGAGACTCCCAATTGAGGGGTGGGCTATAAATCCAGTCTCTTCTGCTGCTGCTGCTGTAGCTATGGGTGGTTATATGGGTGAGGTGGGAAGTTCACAACTTGATGCCCCTCTACCTTTTAAGGCATTTGATATCTGCAGTTCACAAATGCTTTATCCAGAAGGATACTGTCAGGGAGGTGATGAGCCACCATGTTAAGTGTGTCTGAGTAGGATCTCAGAGATCCAGGTTGGAGTCCCTACTCCGTCATGGAAACTTGCTGGGTCACTGTGGACCACTCACCCTTTTTCAGTCGGACCTATGGCACAGGGATGTTGCCGTGAGGATAAAATGGAGGTGGGGAAAGCAATGGTGTAAGCCATTTCGGGTCATGTTGGGGAGGAAAATGGGATATGAATATCTAACTAAAGAAAGCTCAGCCTCCCAAGTGGCCTGTTGTAGATCTCGCCGCTGCAAATTCCACACTGTTCTTTTGATTCTGGTTGAGTAGATAACTCCAAGCTTGGTGTCTCTATGACTTTTCCTCCCTTTTCACTTTCCCAAGGTTCTTATTTGGTGAAAGGCCCTTCTGGTGGGTTCTGGAGTCTGCATATTCCAGTAAAACGGAAGTCTCTCTCCAACAGTTTCCTGCATCCTGTGAAACGGGGCCAGGTTGGTAATTCAAAATGAGGGTCTCAAACTTCAGCTGATCAGCAATTTGTGGTTTAAAGATGGGTGAGGCAGCTCCAGGTTGCTTCGTTCCTTAAGAGCGGCTATTCTTTTTGGGAGACACAGCCGGAGATCTGTTTCATAAACTATTTTAAGGCTCAAGTGGTTAAGACGCTGAACTGCAGGCTGAGGAAGGTCGGTAGTTCAGCAGTTCGAGACCCGGGTTGTCGCATGACGGGGTGAGCTCCCGTCTCTAGTTCCAGCTTCTGCCAACCTAGCAGTTCGAAAGCAAGAAATTGCAAGTAGATAAATAGGTACCACTTCGGTGGGAAGGTAACAGCGTTCCGTGCACCTTGGTGTTTAGTCATGCCATCCGGCCACATCACCACGGAAACGTCTTCGGACAGCGCTGGCTCTTCGGCTTTGAAACGGAGATGAGCACCGCAACCCTAGAGTCGGATTTGACTGGCTTTCGAGCAAGGGAACCTTTACCTTTACCTTTACACTAGTTATCCCCATTGGATGCCATGGTGACCACCAGTGTGCTTCTTGGCACCAGATCGCTTCTTGAGTCTTCTTAGGGGAAAATCCAAAGGGTCTTGAATGAAACAAACAGATACATAAATAGGGAGCTGTGGGTCATTTGTGACTGAAATGCTGTCTCAATTTTTGGAACGAAATTTGAGTCCAGTGGTGCCTTAAAGACTAAGAAAGCTTTATTCAATGTATGAGCTTTCGTATGTGTGCACACTTCCTCAGATACAATGAAATGGAATTTACCAGTCCATACATATAGGTAGAGGGTGGGCAGTAAATAGCATGCAACATAATGATTCAGATTCAGGAATAGCAGGCTTAGTTTGTATGGTTACCATTTAACATAATGAAGATGTTTTAACAGATGCAAAGACCAAATAGGGATAACAAGTAGGGTTCTCAAGTCCAAAATACTCACCGGCGGGGGAGCCCTGGCTGGCTCCGGGAGCCGTCCCCGGATGCGCACGATCGAGGGAGGGAAAACCATAGAGTTTTCCCTCCCCGATCCAGGCCATGCCCCCAACGTGGTCGATGTGCACGTCACTTCCTGTGACGCTGAGCTTCGGGGGGCGGAGTTTACCCGCCACCCGCCCCCACTTGGCAGCCCTAATAACAAGCTAAGTCTACATGGTCACTATTTGTTTGGATTCAATTCCGGGGGGGGGGGGGCACAGAGAAGCAAATAAATATGTCAGAATTGGAGACTGATGTATCCTTAATTGTGAAATGCTAAGAGCAATTAACTGATGCCCTGTTGTTACACACCATTCATCTCCTCTCAAGCATGGAGGTAATTAACAGCATCCTTTTCTTTGAGGTGGGGTGATTGGTTGTGCAGTTGTTATGCCTCCTCTGTCACGAGACCAGATAAACGCATTTCAGTCTACCATTCTATATGACACTGGACTCAAACTTTGTTCTACTGCTTCAGACCAACATGGATACCCACCTGAATCTGCATCAATTTGTGTTTGCTCTGAGGTTTTCATGTAGGCAAACTGCAGATCAAAAATCAGATTTAGGATGTTATTATGAAATGGGATGTAAGTTAGCCCACCCCACACTCTTCAACTGTCCTTGAGGGGATGTACAATTATATCCTGTCTGGGGGAAAAAAGATGATTCTCTCTTTGTGGTTTGAAGGAGGTTCAGTCACTGGAGCATTCCTCCCCCCCTCATATGCCCCCTTTGTAAGGTGATTTGACCAAAACGGCTGTCTGGTACCTCTGACAAAATGAAGTTTTGACCTGGGGTAAAGGAGACCAAATGCCACATCTGTGGGGAAGATTGGTCTTTGACACATAAAGGCACTGTGTTTGTGTGCTTGGATAATAATGATGAAAGCAAGTGCTATCTCCTGTCAGTTTGATGAGCACCACAAGTAGCTTCAAAGTCAAAAGACCTCGGCTTTTTGTTTTTTATCTTTTGAGGACGTTACTGAGGTCTTTCTGTGTTTGTTTGGTTCTGTTGTGGTGTCAGCCAGCTGAGTTATAAATTATTCTGAGGGTCAAACTAAATGCATTTATTCATGAATCCTCTAGTTCCCTTGTAAAGTAGTGAGTGAATTGGGGGGGGGGTCTATTTTTAAAAACCCCTGAAAACAGTGTGTGTGTGTGTCTGTGAGACAAAACTGCCTCCTCCACCTTATCACACACTATTATGTGAAGTATTTTCTCTAATACCAGAAGAGAAAAGGATCAGCTCCAAAAGCATCAAAGAGGAACTCATGTTTCTTGTTTTGCAGGTAGTCCCTCAGGCCACTGTATGATCACTGGAGCAGCACTGTGGCCTCTTGTAACCACCTTGTCTGTGTGGTCATCGCAGCACGCCAAGAGGTATCATCTCCTGATCCTGCAGACTCCAATTCCCCATTATTCCTCCTTCATTTGGTTTCACAATAATTTGTATTTAACGGATGGATTTTTAAAACAAAACAACACCTCTTTTTAATCGTATTTTTCTCTTTTAAAAAAATGGTCTGTAATGTATTTCATTTTGTGGGTTTTTTGGCCTACAGGTAGTTTAAAAATACGAGGAGAACACACTTACGTTTGGAGAAAACAGTTAGATTTTGAACAGTTCTGTTCAGAAACAATTACTTTTCTAAACCCATGGATTTAGAAGGGTGTAACTGTTTAGGGGAGCTGCGGTGGATCAAGTGGTTAAGACGCTGAACTGCAGGCTGTGGAGGGTCGGTAGTTCAGCAGTTCGAGACCCGAGTGTGCCACATGGCAGAGTGAGCTCCCAACTCTAGTTCCAGGTCTTGCCAACCTAGCAGTTCGAAAGCAAGAAATTGCAAGTAGATAAATAGGCACCACTTCGGTGGGAAGGTAACAGCGTTCCATGCGCCTTGGTGTTTAGTCATGCCGGCCACATGACCACGGAAACGTTTTCGGACAGCGCTGGCTCTTCGGCTTTGAAACGGAGATGAGCACCGCAACCCTAGAGTCGGATTCGACTGGCTTTCGAGCAAGGGAACCTTTACCTTTAACTGTTTAGGATCGTACTGTAAATATTCTAGGTCCTCAGATCAGGGATTAGGTAGATGTAGGAAGCTGCCCCGTACCAAGTCAGACTCCTCAGTCCACCCATGCCCAGTACCACCTGCTCTGGCTGGCAGCCGTTTTCCAGTGTCTCAGGTGAGAAATGTCTTTCCTTGTACCTTCTGCCTGAGATCCTTTCACCAAAGATTACAAAGCAGGTGTTTTTCTGCTGAGAAAGGGGCCCTAGATCTGTTACCCGAATTGGTCTAATGATTGATTGATTGGGGAGATTAGATAGCGAGTGATGATGTGGTCCATGGGGTCACGAAGAGTCGGACTCGACTGTGCGACTGAATAACAACAACAAGTCCCATTGCCTGTCTCTGCATCACACCCCTGGTATATCTTAGAAGTGTTCCATCCAAGTACTAGCCAGGGAGCGTTCAGTCTGGAGAAGAGGAGGTTGAGGGGGGACATGATTGCTCTATTTAAGTATCTGAAGGGCTGTCACTTAGAGGAGGTCAGGGAGCTGTTCCTGTTGGCAGCAGAGAATAGGACTTGCAATAATGGGTTTACATTAAGGGTGGGAAGGTACCGGCTGGATATTAGGAGAAACATTTTTACAGTAAGAGTTGTTCAACATTGGAATCAGCCGTCTAGGGTGATGGTGAGCTCCCCCTCATTGGCAGTCTTTAAGCAGCGGCTGGACAAACACTTTTCAGGGATGCTCTAGGCTGATCCTACATTGAGTAGGGGGTCGGACTAGATCAGGGGTGGCCAAGCTGCGGCTCACAGGTTTGGCCACCCCTGGACTAGATGGCCTGTATGGCCCCTTCCAACTTTTTGATTCTATGATTCTATGCTTAGCTTCCATCTGACAAGATTGGGCTAGCCTGGGCTATCCAGGTCAGGGCTATACTAGAAGTAATCACCACTGATTGGCAGTGGGACCAAGTTAGACAAAAGGAGGCATTGTTTCACCTTGACAGTGCATAACTCATGGCATGCATTGCGACAGGGTGTGGTGGCCCCTTGACATCGAAAAGGAATTAGGGTTTCTTTGTCAGTGGGACTAAAACTAGAACGCCCCTTTTCAAGATAATCAGCTATAATATGGGGCTGGATCCGGCTGGCTTTTTTGCTCACCCTGTTCTGTTTTACTGAAGGCTCCCCCCACCCAGTCCCACATGGTTTTTGCCCATGCAGGTTCCATGAGCTCCAGTATAGTCTTTTTGGGTGGTCAAAGGGGATCCCCTCCTTCCTTTTTCACCAGAGGAAAAGCTGGTTGGATCTAACTCAAGGCATGGCAGGAAAGGCATGGTCCTCCTGATCAGCCTTGGGTTGCTTCCCAGATGGAGGCCAACTTTGGTGCAGTGGTTAAGTCCGCGGACTTTAATCTGGGAGAACCGGATTTGATTCCCCACTCCTCCACTTGCACCTGGCTGGATGACCTTGGGCAAGCCGTAGTTCTGTCAGAGTTGTTCTTGAAAGAGCAGTTCTCGAAAAAGCTCTCTCAGCCCAGCCTACCTCACAGGGTGTCTGTTGTGGGGAGGGGAAGGGAAAGGAGATTGTAAGCCGCTCTGAGACTCCAAGTGAAGGGTGGGGTATAAATCCAATCTCTTCTTCTTCTCTTGTTCTTGCCTGGACATCAGGACTCTGACATCAGTCAGTGCAAACTTATAAACAACCTTTTCACCAGCTCGCTGCTACTTCTCCCTGTGGAATCTCAGATCCCAGTTCCTTTCAGATTATGTAAGAACTTGCAAAAAAAATCGCTGTCACTGTGGAATCAGCATTCCAGAAGAGACGTCAGCTCTCTACTCAGAAACTCCGCCATGATCTTGTGTTTAAATGAGAGGTGTTTCTTATGCACACATGGGTGAGATGAGGGCAGTAACATGGCAGGATATGCTCAGAGGTCCTCTTTCCCTGCTTCTCACATTCCAGGCATGCACTGAAACTGGTTCTTGGCTCTGGATCAGGACGGTCAGCTATTTCAATGGGCAGAGGAAGCTCCTCTGCCCCCCTCTTGACTAACCCACCATGTCATCCCTCCTGCTTTCCAGCCGGATTATAAGAGCAGTGCCCTTTACTGTTTATCTCCTGCTCCTGCTGGCTGTGGGACTTTCGCGTATCTTCATCCTGGCTCATTTCCCCCATCAGGTACTTGGTGGCATCCTGGCAGGTGAGTGTCTTGTCACGGTTGCCAGTGTTGTGGCCATTTCCACTGTGTGTGTTGATAATCCATGATCCTTTGCAGAAAGACCCGTTCATGCATATCTCCAAAGGCCTCGCTGCGTGCTTTATGTTTCCCCTGGGAGCAACCCCGGGTAGGGTGGAGAGGTGTGTTCTGAAATTACATACTTCAGAGGCGTATGGAAAACGGATTTGGATTATCATGCGTAGACATGGGGCCTAATACCGTCCTCTCTACCATTTTCACAACCCGAAATGACCCTGAGTGGGGTGCTGTCTGCACCATGTGGAAATGGAGGATGTTGCCCATGAGAACACAGGCAGACCCCAAAATGTTTGTGTCAAGTCAGGGAAATGGCCCCGGAGAAGAAAACCTAAGCTACTTCTTTCAGCGTGCTGTGCTCCCAAGACAAATCAGGCCCCCATGCACCTGGGAAGCATGGAATGTCAGGACGTACCTCCCCGCCAAATCCAGGGATATCTCTGAGGAAAAAGAAATGCGTAGTTAGGCCCTGGGGCATTTTACAGTGGTATGTTCTGGTCTGCGAATTGTGGCAGTTCTGACATGGAGAGTACCCCAAACCCTGTTGGATTTCCTTACCTGTTCACCACCAGACAGGCACAGCTTTGCATCTACTGGTGGGTCCCAGTGCTGCAAGGAGCCATAAGGAAGTTACTTCTCCTCGGATAGAGCATTTAGCTTGCTGAAATCACAGCTGTAGGATGCTATGAAGGCCCCTTGTTGAATTAGCTTTAAAAGGAGATTCAGCGCATTCACGGAAGAGAGTCCTGTCAATGGCTACAAGTCAGAGGCTACAAGTCATGGTGATTCAAGGGAACCCCCATGTTCACGGGCAGGAGTCAGAACTACTGAGGTACACATTAATTAAACACATCCATGCAGTGGCTCATTGTGGCTGGAAAACACACCTAGGGCTGAGCTGGGTTGCGGGCATCGGTCTCCTTCGCTGCCTGTCTTGTATGCGTAGGATGATAAGTGACAAAATCTTATGGGATCACCTCTGCTTCCTCTTCTCCTGCTCTCTCTCTCCCTTTCTAGGTATCATTCTTGGCTGGCTGCTGGAATCCCGGGCCCCGCTGGAGAGAGAACTCAGCTTCTACCTGCGGGCTTCGCTGTTCCTTTTGCTAAGTACTTTGACGACCTATTGGACCTTGATAGCTCTCGGTGTAGATCTGAACTGGTGAGTTCTGCCGACAGGGGCAGGTGGTCAGGTGTGAGAAGCTTTAATTCATCCTTAATCACAATTTATCCCAGTTGTTTTTGTTTTTTTAAAGAGGCCCTCAAATAAACAGGACAAAATGCCCCCAGACTGGGGCGGAGAGAGCTTAATCCATATACTGAAAGCTGGTCTGAATCAAATTGCAGTGTTGACATTATATCCATGAAGTATATCTCTTTGTGTGTAGAAGAGAGCAAGAGTCCCAGTAGCACCTTAAAGACTAACAAAATTTGTGGCAGGGGATGAGCTTCCGTGAGTCGCTGCTCACTTCCTCAGATACAGCTAGAATGTGAGTTCACCTGTCCTAATATCTTGGAGAGTGGAGTGATTTCAGAGGCTGAACGACAATAGCAGGTGAATGAGAATAGTAGGTGTGATTGGATTAGGAATAGTGGGATGTGACATGCAGAGGGGGTAGCAGGCTTGGAGAAATCAACACTGGTAATGAGACAGGAAACCTAGGTCTCGATTCATCTGAAATCACTCCACTCTCCCAAGATATAAGGACAGATGGACTCACGTCCGAGCTGGGTCTGAAGAAGTGAGCAGCAACTCACGGAAGCTCAGACCCCGCCACAAATTTCGTTAGTCTTTACGTTGCTACTGGACTCTTGCTCTTCTCTACTGCTACAGACAGACAAACATGGCTACCCATCTTGATCTATCTCTTCATCTGTTATATTTGTTGTCCCACCCTTCCTTTGGAGAGCTCAGGGTAGTGTACATAGTTCTCTCTTCCTTCCCCCCCCCCACAACCACCTTGCGAGGTAGGTTACGTGGAGAAAGATTGGCCCGAGGGCATCCAGAAAGCTTTAAGGCTGAGCGGGGAATTCAGACCTGAGCCTCCTAGATCCTAGTCTGGAACTCTAACCACTACAGCGTACTGGCTCTTCTGAAGGCTGTAGTCAGGCCTATTCAGCAAGGGAATATTTTTCCAAGAGGCAGTTTGCATCAGCCCTGGCAATGTAAAGGGAGTTTCATTTAGCTGTATTTTATCTTGTTCTTTCTCTAAAGAGCTCAGGGTAGAGTTCAAGGAACAAGACAGAAGGTTATACTACTTTACTCAAGTAATTAAATTGTACAATTCACTGCCGGTGGACATAGTGATGGCCTCAAGCATAGATAGCTCTAAAAGTGTATTCATGGAGTACAGGCCCGTCAACAGCTAACAGTCATGGCGACTAAAGGGAAACCTCCATAGTCTGAGGCAGTAAACTCTGAATATCAGTGCTAGGTGGCTACGTCATGGGGTAGGCCTTGGCCTCTGTGCCCTGGGTGTTGTCTTACCGGTGCGACTGGTTGACCACTGTGTCAAGCCGGATGCTGGGCTAGATGGACCACTGGTCTGATTTCCTCCACCAGGCCCCCTGTTATGCTCTCTTCTTTTATTGTCACAGCAACACTGTGAGGTAGGTTAGGGAGGAGTGTGTGGCTGGCCCAAGGTCACACTTAAGTTTTGTAGCTGAGCTAGGATTGCCAGCTTTGGATGGGGAAGTACCTGGAGATTTTGGGGGTGGAGCCTAGAATGGGCGGGGTTTAGGGAGGGGAGGAACCTCAGCAGGGTGCTGTGCCATAGACTGCATCTTTCAAAGCAGCCAGTTTCTCCAGGGGAACGCGTCTCTGTTGTCTGGAGACTGATCGTAATAGCGGGAGATCTCCAGCCACCACCTGGAAGCTGGCATCCCCAAGCTGAGCACAGAAACGAAGTGGCATCCACCTGGTTTAAGTACAGTCCTCTTAACAACTGCATCACACTTCTCTTAATGGCCTCACATACATACCTGCCCAACTCACTCCTGTCCCTCCTTTGCTCCCTCCAGGTCACTCGGCCTTGCTACCAAGTGGTGCGCCAATCCCAAGTGGATCCGCATAGACACACGACCCTTCGCATCGCTGACTCGTGATGTGGCCACAGCCCTCGGGCTCGGGCTGGCTCTCCACTCCTCCTACTACAGCCACCTCAAATGGGAGAAGCTGAGCTGGCCTCAGAGGGTCTGGTGTGCCAGCTTGGCCACTCTGGTCCTGAAAGTCCTGAGCAACGCAGCGCAGCCAGAGAACTTGGCTCTCTGGTACGGGCTGACGTTTGTCAAGTATGCCACATTCCCTTGGGTGGTGGTAGCGCTGCTGCCCAGACTAGTCCATGCCGTGGCCTCCAGGAAGGCATCACCCCACCAAAAGTAGCCAGCAGAGAGGCTCTTTGTTCCTTGAGGAGCAGAGGTGGCAAGCCTAGTATGTACCAACTAGTTTTCCCTTTGCCTGTTTCTCCTCTTGCTACGGGGAAAATTCTGTGAAGATTATGCACTGTCCAAAAATGGTTCTCTTGGAGAGAACAGCTGTTTCGTTCACTTGGGCCGAGACTGTTTCCCCTGAAACCAAAAAAAAATCTTCTCCAGATCTCTAGCTCCTTTGGCTTCGAATCCTTCCTGTCCTCACTCCTCGCAAGCTACAATAGCCTTGTGCACTCATCATAAATACAGGGAACAACTCTTTATGTTCAAGTCCCAGAGTGCAACCAAAGAGATTTAGGTTAGATATGGGGTGGGGGAGGGAGAGAGGAGCCCTGGAAACGCTTTGCTTGGCAAGGCAAGTGGGATAATCTTGGACTTTTAAAAACCAGTTGGTTGAATGTTTGGCTGAATTAGGTCAGGTGGGACTTGATGTATATGGCAGGAGTGGCTGGATTTTCTCCTCCTCCTCCTCTCTCTCCAGTAGAAAAAAGCACAATGCTTCCTGCTCAGGTAGCCGACACTCCCAGCTTTGGTTCAGATTTCCAATGTTAGTAGACATGGATAGTGGACCTGGATGCGTATATTATGTTCTGTTCCTTCCACATAGATCCCTGTTCCTCAGTCATCACCATGTGGTCCAAATCAGGCTGGTAAAGCCTTTCAAACGGCCTCCCCCTTCCCTCTTTGATTTTAGCCACCCTGTTCCTTAGTGAGCCCAGTTACGTACCTGTGCACACGTGTCCAGAAACATAATTCCTCTGGAACAAAGTCTGTGTTTTTCTTGGCAAGCAGCGACCGTTTTTCTAAAAAGCATACAGTAGAACCATCCTGGCCTGGCAAACCACGGAAGGAGGGGGTACAGGACGTAGATAGGTAGCGGCCCAAAGAGATCCAAGGACAAGCCAGCCCGTCAAGACACAAAGCAACTGAGTCGCGCTGTCCTAGATTTTGCTGTGCTCCTCCCCATCCTTTGACAAATATTATTTTAAAATCAAAGCCTAGACATTGGTATTGTAATAAACTATGAAATCCAGACTCGTGTTTGCAACATTTCTCATTGTTTGTTCTTCTCAAACCTATCATCTTCTCCACATGTTTTTAGAGGTGCTGGGGGGGGGGGAGGGAATGAAAGCTGAGACTTTCCAGGCGGCCTAGTGTCTCAATCAGGGTCCCCAGATTTCCCTTTCAAAACGGGCTACTTCTGAGTAATGACAAATATCCAGAGCTACTCCCCCTTCCCTCCACTGGCATGCTACCAAGTCTTGTTCTACCATAGAAACAGAACGCAGACCAGGAAGAGCACCAGAAATGGGTCTGTCCACTAAAGCAACACAGGAAAATCCCTTGAAATAAACGCTTTAAAAAAAAATGGAGAGCAGATCTTTTTGTAATTTTATTTCTGGGGCTTCAAGAGAGGCGCCAAGATGCACTCTGCAGCACCAGCCTACTAGTAACTCATGAGCCGCCTTTTAGAAACCCTGATCTGGATTTCCTTTCTCAGGAGAGAGTGCCCACCACAAGGGAATTTTTCCACCATTCCAATTGTGTTCTACCGTCCGTTCCCTCTAGTGCTAGATAGCAAGAAGAGTGGCAAAAACAAAAAAAATGGTTTGGGGAAGGCTCATTGTGATTGCTATACAGGAAACTAGCAACAACTTCTCTGTTTGTACATGCACACAATTTTAGAATTTGGTAACAGAAAACTATATCATTGGGAGGCTGTTCCAGTCCTTGCCCATCTGCCCCGCAAAGCCATTTTGGCCCACCATCTTGTAAATGTTTTACATTCCTCGTTTAATGCTCCCTGTAGTTCTGCAGACACCTGCAGCGATTATGCTACTAGTGCTGGGTTAGTGCTTATGTAAAACCAAGACCTTAAAACAGCAAGACACACCACACACAGATTCCCCCCCCCCTCCCGCTGAGTTGGGAAGTAGGAACAAGACTCACACATACACAGAGAAAGCCAGAAGGCACCACACATAGAGATTCTACCACAAAATATTGCCAGAAACAATTTTATTTACACAAGGACAAACATTGGAACATATTACAAAATACTCAACTGAAAATTGGTTTCCAGAGCGAGATAAACAGTGTGTGTGAGAGAGGAAGAGAGAGAGAGAGAGAGACAGAAAGCAGGAAGAAACGCAGAAAGGAAAAAAAATATACAGATATCTCCACTTGTGGGGCATCTTCCAATGTCACAGGAAGGGGGTTGGTTAGGGAAAAAATATAGACAAACCTACACCCATTCCGTTGCTGAAGAACATCCCCTCACACCCACGACTTAATACTGGCGAGGAATCCAAGGATAACGGGATACCCACAAAATGCCACAGCAGACAACTGTTCTGTGTAATGGCCCTAAGGGCTGATGGCTTTTCAAAGGACCTTCCCCTCTTGCCCAGCCTCTGCCTAACCCCAGTTAATCCCAAGATGAGAAACAATCAAGATGGAAACAATGGTGGGAAATATTTTTGCCTTCCTCCCCCCTCCAAAACGATCAGATTGTACAACTAACTCTAGGTGGCTGTCCCCTCCTATTTATAACCTTTTGCTCGACTTCAGATTTCACAGGAGACTTTTGTGTCTGGGGAAAGAGAGGTACTAATTTTATAACCTTGGCAAACACCTTTGCAACTGGGAGAGGAGTGGGACATGGTATTTTGTTTTGGTGCAGTGGGGTTGCTAGCCTGATCCAGTGAGCGCAAGCCGTGTGCTAGAACGGCAAAATTCTGCAGTGCAGAAGGGAAGTCCTGCATCCAGCAACCTGGTAACGTGTGCGAATCCCCAGGGGTTACCCTGTTTCCATCTTTTTTTTAAAAAAATGGCTGTATGTGGTGCCTGTTCAGTCACAGGGACAGAAGCAAACATTCTGTCTTCTGCAAGTCTCAAGGTGAAGTTTGCACGGTAGGGCTGCCAGCCTCCAGGTGGGACCGGGGATTCCCTGGAATTGCAGCTCATCTCCAGACTACAAAGACCAGTTCCCCTGGAGAAAACAGACATTTTGGAGGGTGGACTGTATGGCATTGAACCCCACTGAGGTTCCTGTCCTCCCCAGGTTCTGTCCCCAAATCTCTAGGAGTTTTCCAACTTGGATCTGACAACCCTACCCCCATTCCTCGCTGGTAGCCAGGGGGAATCTGGAAACCCTATTGCATGGGGATATGCTGCAAACCACAACCGGGTATGTGAAAAGGAAGTGTGACATGAGGGATTGCACACCCAACCATGTGCAGATGTGGGAAACGCCTGCAGTCGTCTGTGTAGACAAGCAGGAAGAGATTGTGTATTCCTGAGGACCACCTCCTTTCATACCCTGATGCAGACAGGCATTAAAAATAAGTACATTTTTGCCAAAAATGCTGCCCCCCCCCCATTTCACCTAATCTGATACTATGTTGTGCAGAACCGACTTGGTTCAGACATAAACCATGCTTTCTTTTAACTAAGGCAAGTTAGGGGAAGAATTCAGCTTCCAGACCAGGGCTTGCTGGCACCTTTAGAGTTCTGATACAGGGCGGTGGCACCACCCCCTGTATTGATAGTGGCGGTGGGCACAACTACAAAAAAGGCCTGCCATGGGGGGGTGGAGCCAATCACAAAACTGCTGCCATGGGAAGCAGAGCCAACCACCAAATGTCAAACAGTGAGATTATGCGTAACTCTTAATAGTAACTTTAACATTTCAGGCAGAAAGCCTGTTTAACAAGATGCCTTTTAAAGGAACAGTTTTAAAAAATATTTTCTTGCATACACAGCTTACCTTCGGTGATGCAGGGAAGATCCCTGTGCTGTGGCGGCCAAAGCAATGCTATTAAAAATCTGCACAGCCAATAAAATCTCTAATGGCCAATCAGAGGCCCTTCTGCCCAAAAGCTCCACCCACTTCCTAAAAACACTTGGCAGGCACCAGGAAATGTGTCCACAGGCGCCATCCCCGCCCCCCCCCCCGGTACCATGTTCAGGACCTCTGTTCCAGGTGATTGCTCAAATGCTGGTTTTCCTTCCCAAATGTGGATTTAATTGCTTTTGCTCTTTTCTCTCTGCAAGAGACCTGGCTGGTATCCCACTCTGTTTGGTGGCATTAGAGAACAAGCCAGGATCAAACCAGGCTATTCACATTTAAATATCATGTGAAACCATAATTAAGACAAACTATGCTAATTAAGACTGACTATGCTTAATAAGTCAGTTTCAAACCATGGCTTAAAATCTTGGCATGACATATCCAAACCAAACAAAGTAGCCCATGATCAGACATTTACACCTAACCTCAAGTTAAATTAAACCATGGTTTTAGGGGATGTCTGGACCAAGCCACTATTTCAGTAACTATGCTGAAGGTGGTTGCAGATGCAGGGGGAGGGGCTCCTGGACAGATAGTGTCCAGCAAGCCCCCTTTCCCAGGTGTGGTAGACAGAGGAATGGTGGTAGCAGTTATTGTTAGATAACATTGCTTTCCCCTTTACCTGCCTGCTAGGAACATCTCCTGCACTTCAGCCATCTGCTATCTCCTTTTGATTGGTGGCGGCTGTTCTTAAAAGCCACCACTGCTTGCTTGGGCAGGAGACAGAACTGGAGATGGTAGCATATAGCAGCCACAGCTGCCAGTCCTCTGTCAGACCAAGGAGAGGCTTGTAATGATGGCATCAGTGTCAAGGACTGGAAGAAGGATGAGTAGGCCGAATCCTCCCACTGGGCCTCAATGCTACCACTCAGAGAGAAGGCAGGTTGTGTTCGCTGCTCCTGCGCTGTGGTAAATGGGGCCTTGGCAGATATTCCATGGTATTTAGCCCTCGTGTCTGCCCTGTGTATATCTTGGTCATAAGAACTTGTGTCCAATCAAAGTTCTTACGCTTTGTTACGAGCATTTAAAAATACATCGTTTGAGCCTTCCGTGAACATAACCCACCAAGGCAACTTCCTGACTTTTTGTCCCAGCTAAAAAGGGGAAGAGTGTGGGATTATCAAAAGTCCCCAAAGAAACCAAAAATTCCTCAAAGGAGTTAAAAGTTTAGGTTGGCCTGTGCCAGGGGCTCCTAATGTGACTGATCCCTTGGGCAAGTGTGGAATTTTGAGAACAGGGAGTGTCGCCGCCACCACAAAATGGCTTCCATGAGGGCTGAAGCCAATCACAAAATGGCTGCCGTGGGATATGAGGAAAAGGTTGGGAGAGAACAAGCCAAAATCTTTCTATGTTGGAAGTTGAAGTTTGATGTTTCTAAATGGGTGCTCTCTGCACACCCAAACTGAAGCCTCTTGGATTCTTCTGAAGCACTCCATGTTCCAATGAGGCAGAGGAACACTAGGGGAAGAAGCCAATAAATGCCACCAAATTCATCAGCAGAGGCAGTTGGGAATCCATGGCTTTTGCCTTTCTTTAGGGTTGCCAGACCCCCTGTCCGGGCGGGGATTTCCCCGATTTTTGGGGCTTCTGCCTGCCACCAGCCAACTGGCTGGGGAAGCCCCACCCTCAAACAGGGATGTCACATAGCAATATCCCTGATGTGATGACGTCACATGGAAGTGACACCATCGTGTTGGGATGTCATACAGCAACACTCTGTTTTTTGGGGAAAACTATGGTTTTAGGCCAACCCCCCCATAGTTTTGCCCAAAATGCAGAGCATCAATGTGCAACATCCCCAATGTGATGACGTCACTTACGCATGATGTCATCGTGATGGGGACATCGCACAACATCCCTGCCTACCTCTGGAAGGCCCTCCAAATCCCCCTGCTGGCAACCCTGCCTTTCTTTCAGTAGTTTGTGAAAAGGCCCACTGCTTGGCGTGTGTGTCCTGCCCTCTGCCATCTGATTAAGGTGAACACAGAATTCACCTTACACGAGGCACCTCAGGAGCCAGACCTGTCTTAGTAAATACTTCTGTCTTTGTCACCTTTTTGAAAACTGTTAGAAATGATTTACTGTGATTGTCTGTGGCAACCTGAATCTCCCAACTGCAGATAAAGCACCAAGAAGCAGAAAATTTATAGTTATAGACAAATTCTATCCACCAGT